ATGATTTATTATAATACTAGGAATAAGGCCCGTTGTGGGAAGAAATACAACGAGCGCTAGAAGGAAGGGGAAAATAGGAGACAAGCCATTTTTATTTCCTTCTGCTTAGCTATAAGGCAGGGCTGTCTCAAGTCATTTTGCTGCCCCAAGTGGGTAGTATGGGAGGACAGCCTCATGGTAACAGGCATGGTTCCCTCCACCCCTGACTTATGTTAATTTGGGGCTATGCAATGGCAGCTAAGGTAGTAAACTACCTCCTCCTATGCCATGTCTTCTGGGTTCCTAGGGTCTGGAAAACAGTTCTGTAGCCAGTTACAGGGTTGCCAACTCTGGGTTGGAATATATCTGTAGATTTGAGGGGTAAAGTCTAGGGAGGGCAGGGCTTGGGATGGGGAGGGACCTCAGCAGGTTATAATGCCATAGAGTCCACTGCCCAAAGCAGCCATTGTCTCCAGGATAACTGATCTTGGTCATCTGGACATCAGTTGTAATAGCTGGGAAATTTTCTTTAGGGGAAATGATGTGCTGTGGCTGGGGAACATGGTGGTTTCTGGGAGATCTCCAGGCCCCACAGGGAGACTGGGATATGTATTTTACCTCAGGGCTTCCAACAGCAACAGCAGACTGTTTAGAATGTTAGAAACAAAGAGCAATGAGACCAGATATGCAAATGACCTCTGTGTTCTGACTGGCTGTGGGGCGGAGAGGAACAGCAAACTGTTTAGAATGTTGGAGGCAGGACTCAGGGAACACAGCCAGTGGGTAGGGAGACCCTCTGAATGACAAATCATTCAGCCAACTGATTTTGGAGCGTGTTGGGATGTTTAGGGGAGTCTATGACCAAAACAGAATTATATATAAGAAGAGATTCATTGGGCTGGATCCAAAAGCTTCTCCTACAAATGGATGATTTTCACTTGCCCTTCATAAGGAATTTCAAGTAATGTCTAGTTGTGAGGTTTAAGCAATTCAACTTGTTCCCTGCCATAGACCATCTTTCATAGTGATAGACAAATCCCCCTCTCAATTTAAGTCAAAAACAGCCTAGGAAATTAGAAGTGACAACGGAAAATTTCCAGGAAATAAACATTCTGAGTGTTTTCTTTCTGTGTGTGAAGCCCCCAACTGCTTTTACTACATCTGCCCTAAATTTGCCAAACTTCTTGTATTTATACATGCCACATACAATCATTGGTGTACAATGTAATCCTAAACAGAGTTATACCTTTTTAAAACCGATTTGACTTCAATGGACTTAAAAGAGTGCCTACTATGTTTGGGATTACACTGGAAGTTGTCTCTTTGATCTGACTGGAGAATAAAACCCAGGGTATATTTTTTACCAAAAGAAAAAAATCAGGTAGGAACTGCAGGGCTTGCTTCAGTGGAATCTTAGTAGAACAGAGCTGCATATCCCCTGAGCTTGGGTGATTGTTACAGCTCTGATTGTGACACAAAATGCTGCAATATCTAATTCTTACATTCTTATTTAAAATAGACTTAAGTAATGAATCCTCAAATTCGTTAGCTTGGGCTTCCAAGAAGCAACAAAAGACCTAAAAGCAAATTGAAGCAGAATAATTATGAAAGCTACAGCACAAAGTATGACAAAGCAAACCAGCCTATTAAGCTTCTGATTTCAGCCACCCACCCACTTCTGTACAACAAATGCACAGGTCATTAAAATGTGCTGGAGTGACAGAACATGAATGGCACTCAAGTAATATCATGAACATTCTTCTAAGGAATTTAATGTAAAACACCTCCTACTCATCCATTCCAAAGATAAAAGGAATGGTGCTGGAGAACAAGAGTTGTTTAAAAATCACATTCAAACCTGAATTCACATTCAAAACATTCAAAAAATTGATGCCCACAGAATGACCAGTACTATAGCTAGGATAAAATGCTTTGGATAAACCATTACTTCCGCATGACAGAAAAAGTTGTGGTTAAAGATCAGTTTAGATCAGGGGTGTTGAAATCATTTGTTAATCGGGATGGATCTGACATAAATGTCACTTTGTCAGGCCAGGTCATGTGTGTCATAAAATGTAACACCTAATACTGAAGATACAAACTTTATAAAGGTCCAGGCAAACCCAATTAATGATATTATTTTTTACTCAAAATACAAACTACAAACATGCTTCAAAGACAGTCAGTTTTGATATATAGACCTTCTGAGACCTTCCAAGAAAAGAAACCAAATGCAAATTCTTCAGGGCGCAGGCAGAAAATTACCCAGCTTAATTGGAGCAATTCAGTTTTACCTTGAACCTCACAATCCCATGGAACCAGATTATGTGTTTCCAGTTGTTTTTATGATGTGAAGGGCTGCCCTGTTTCAAACAAGAGGAGGGAGGGACGTCCCTGACTTTGTGTGTGTGGGGGAATGCATTCTCTTCTTGCTCAGCACAGTCAAGAATACTCCCCCCCCTTTTTTGTTGATTAAGACTCTGCTCGAGGGCAGCTTTGCATTGCAGGAAAGAGGAGGAGTGATTCTCTTTTCCAGTGTCATGATCCAAGCTGGGGCAGCCTGGGTGCCTCCACAGCTTCTGATGTGCAGAGACACACCAAGGGAAGAATGAGAGCCTGCCCTTAGATTTTGAAGCAACATCTCCTGGGCTGCTGGCTCTTGGGTATTCCTGACTTTGCAGAGGGGAAAAAGGGTTAGGAGAAAAGCATTCTCTTCTTGCTCAGCACAGTTAAGAATATTTTGCTCAGTAAGAAGAGAATGTATTTTTTCCCAACTTTTCTCTTTTTGATTGAGACTCTCTCAAGGGTGGGCTTTTTATGGGGGGAGAGGAGGAACAATCCTCTTTTCCACCATCACAATCCAAGCCAGGCAGGCCAAGCATCCCAAAAGCATATTCCTCCTCTCCTCCAATGCAAAGCCTCCCCATTGGGCTTCTGGACACTCCTCACTGAATACACCTGGGGTGGCCCATTCCCTCAGCCCTGCCCCACCTTTGGTGTGCCACTTTTGTTAGGCATTGTCCAGCTCAGGTGGAGAGAAGAGCTGACTCACTATGTGCTGTGGAAAGGAAGGGAGGAAGGGGAGGCTGGCATGATTGCAGTTGTGGTGGCCCCCTACTTACCAGGGAGGCTGACACTAAAGTAAACTGGTACAGAGGAGGTTGTTCCACCATGCACTGAAGTCACAACTGGAGTGGCTCGCCAGCTCACTCTCCCAAGCAGCTTCCTGTTCCCTCCCTTGTATGCTTGTGTGCCAGATAAAACCCCTGGATGAGCCAGATCCAGCCCGTGGGCTGTATGATTGACACCTCTGGTTTAGATGGATACAAGATGCCTTAAATACTTTCAAATCTCCAGGGCCAGATGGCTTGCATCCCAGGATGCTAAAAGAAATTGCAGATGGTATTTCATGGCCTCTGGCACTAATCTTTGAGTTCTCCTGGAATACTGGTGTTGTGCCGGAAGACTGGAGAAGAGCGAATGTTGTCCCAATCTTCAAGAAGGGGAGAAAGACGGACCCAGGAAATTACAGGACAGTCAGTTTGACATCAAGACCTGGAAAAATTCTAGAACAGATTATTAAACACTTTGTCTGTGAGAACCTTGAATGGAATGAGTTAATTGGTAGTAGTAGTCAGCATGGGTTTATCAAGAATAAGTCATGCCAGACCAACCTTATCTCCTTTTTTGACAGAGTTACTAAAATGGTTGACTATGGCAATGCTGTGGACATAGTGTATCTAGATTTCAGTAAAGCATTTGAAAAAGTTTCTCCTGATATCCTTGAGGATAAGCGGGTTAAATGTGGGCTGGATGGTGCAACCGTTGGATGGATTCATGGTTGGTTGAAAAATCGTACCCAACGAGTGCTCGTAAATTATGAGGAAAGGCTGAAGGAGTTGGGTATGTTTAGCCTGGGAAAGAGAAGGCTTAGAGGGGACATGATTGCAGTCTTCAAGTATTTGAAGGGCTGTCATGTAGAAGATGGAGCGGATCTATTCTCTCTTGCTTCGGATTGCAAGACTAGATCTAATGGGTGGAAATTACAAGGGAGTTGTTACCAGCTAAATATCAGGAGAAACTTCCTAACTGTAAGAGTGGTTGAACAGTGGAACAGACTGCCTCGGGAGGTGGTGGATGCTCCTTCGCTGGACGTTTTCAAGTGGAGGCTACATGACCATCTTTCGGGTATGTTGTAGGGCTTTCAGCTATGCCCCTGCAGAGTGCAGGGGGTTGGACTAGATGACCTGCAAGGTCCTTTCCAACTCTAACATTCTATGATTCTAAGGAATGATTCTTGGTTCCCATACTATTTTGTTGCAGCATCAAATCTGACTGTTATAAAGCCAAACAAGGAAGTAATGTTTTTTTTTTGTAACAATATATATTCATTCACGTACATTAAATAAAAACATACTGTCTACCAAACGATTTGTGCTGAATATACAATTCTGTTATAAATAGAACTAAGTCTTAAACATTATACCTGTTTAGTCAAGAAGAAATCAACAAGTTTATATTGGCCTTTTGTAAGACACTAATTGCTGAGAAATTCGAATGCCCCAGCACCTTCAATACTAAAGGCTCCCATTTCTTTATAAAATAAGATTTACGTTGCTCCGAGTTAGGATATTCTAGTTCTACCAATATTTTATCAAAAATAAAATATTCCCAAGCTTTATCTAACCATTCTTGTAAAGTAGGAATGGCTATTTTTTTCCACTTTGATGCCAGAACTGTTTTTGCTGCAGCGAATAAGGTTGCTATTAAATCTCTTAAATAACGTGGAATAGATAAACCTTCCCATAAATTTAGTAAAACTAAAGTAGGTGAAAGCGGTAGAAGACATCCTGAGATGCCATTAACTTCTTTGATTATTTGAATCCAAAAACCTTCGACCTTAAGGAAGTAATGTAATCAAATAATACAGAAATTTTTAAAGCCATTGTAGAATATACAAGTGGATAAAAAAGATAAGTCTTTCTTTTGTATGACAATCCTGTTGCTGTGGCTGGGCTGAGATCCGGAGGCATCGAGCGCTGGTTAAGAATCTGAATGCCAATCCCCACGTGATACAGGAGAGTCAGAAAGAATTCATGCAACCAGAAAAAAAGCTCCTGGAACGTCACATGTGAAAGTCCATACCCTGCAGGAAATGTCTATCTACTTGCTCACCAGATCAGATGGACGGAAATATATTGAAGCAAATGAGAAAGTTCATGTCACTGGGAAGAAACTGAAGCAGCTTCTGGAAGGGGTTTCACATGACTTGACGATCACATGGAGCACCCAAGATATAAGTGCATTTTTCCAGTTTGTGGATGAACTGAATGTCAGAGGTATTCACCAGCACCAGAGATAGCTTCCATAAAGAAAACAAGGGTGATGGAAGGAGGACCCTAGAGAGGAGAAACAATACAAGAATGAAAGCATGGGCAGCCCCTCAGTTCCCAATCCCCCCTCCTTCTTCTACCATGTGTTGTGAGATGCACTGCCCTTTCAGCTTCTATGTCTCCTCCTCTCACTTTTGGCCTTCATGATCCCATCTTCAGAGAAAGACTATAGCTGCTCTGAGGCCAACAATTTTGCCCACTGGTTCTATCCCATGCTGCAATATATCAATGGACTCACACCGACCTAAAGTAATCGTCTACACTCCACACCAAACAAACTTCTTTCATGGGTGCCTCTTTCCGTGCTGCTAACATCTGTCCGACATCTTCGTCCAGATGAAGTTCCTCCCTGGTTTCATGGGGAATTCCTACCAGAGCTCAGCTGACACCAAGGTGCAACGGTAGTAACATTTGAGTTCATCATTGCAGCTGTCGGTTGATAAAATGCAAAGCAATAGTTGGCTATCCCTGCAGTGCTCTAGAGAACACGTCAAAGTTCGCATCTCCAAGATGTTACTCCTTCAGCAATTTCAACATTTGAGAATTGGCGTCAAGTCCTCACTTTTTTTTTGTATATAAACTTCATTTTTATATTTTATTGAATTGTTACTTGTCACTATTTGTACAATGTGTAAACAATTGGTAGATGGTCTTTGTGCAGAAAGGTAACAGGGAATTTGTGAGACAGTGGGTGCGATCATACGTACCAAAAGTGGCAGCAATGGTGCGATTCCCCTGCGGAGTAAAGGGGCGCGATCAGACAGACACATCTGTCCAGCATCCTGGAGTCATCAGCGGGGTGTCGTATCGCACCGCAGGAGCGTGTAAAAAACCCACCAGGTAAAACCTTCTAGCATACGGAACTGTGGGGCGCATGGCCGGAAGTCTGATCGCGCAAACACACCTCATTTTAATGTGTAAACAATTGGTAGATGGTCTTTGTGCAGAAAGGTAACAGGGAATTTGTGAGACAGTGGGTGCGATCATACGTACCAAAAGTGGCAGCAATGGTGTGATTCCCCTGCGGAGTAAAGCGGCGCGATCAGACAGACACATCTGTCCAGCATCCTGGAGTCGTCAGCGGGGTGTCGTATCGCACTGCAGGAGCATGTAAAAAACCCACCAGGTAAAACCTTCTAGCATATGGAACTGTGGGGCGCATGGCCGGAAGTCTGATCGCGCAAACACACCTCATTTTGGCCCGGGGCAAACAGCCTCGCTTCCTGCCCGCATTTTCTCGCTCTTGTGACCGCAACCAGTGTTGTGTTACCTAGATGAATTATTGCAATCTTAAGGACAAAGGCCATTGTGGGCAGTCTGCTGGGAAATTCTTCTGTGCAAGCCCTGTTAAAATGAATTAGTCAAGCTTTTGAATGGCCTTGCACAAAAGAATTTCCTGATTTGTTCTGTTCCTCATTTTAATGTGATAACGAAAACCCTTCTTTTCATCTAGTGCATGGCATGCACAAAAATCACAAATTTAATTTTCAGTTGTAATATTATAGTAAGTTCTTTATGTTTCCAGAGGAAAAAAAAGTTAGGATGTAGAGCTGCCTTGCCTAATAGCCTTATTTATGTAGTATTTTAAAAAAATTAAGTAAATAATTAAAGGTTAATTTTTTTAAAAAAAGATCCTGAATACATTTACTTATTGGTTACAATGGAATGTATTTCCATGTACGTATGGTTAAGATCTCAGCCCAAATCGTCAAGAAACAGTTCCTCCATCTAGACAACAATAAAACAAAGCCATCTGCACTGGTCACAAGGTATACCAAAGCAGCGTGGTGTTAAATAAATGGAAGTAATGAGAGAAGAAATATTTCCTTTGAAAACACTAATGCGGACAGAGGAGCACTGAATCAAGAGCATTTCCACTGAATGTGTGCATGTGAAATTACTGGACCATTCAAAATTGTCAGTTTGTAATGAAACATTACCCTAGCTATTTATTTACAGTCCTAACTATTCTGAAGGCTCAAACTGGGAGACAACCCAACCGCACCCTGCCTTCTGTTGGCTATATTCTTATGGCACTTCTTAAATTCAGATTTCTTAAGACTCTCCAAATAAATGACATTTTGGAGAGCCACTCTCGTACACTCCTGGATCTCTTCCAGTCTGGCTTTCGCCCTGCCCATTGGACAGAGACAGTGTTGGTCGCCCTGGTGGATGAGCTCCAGAGACATCTGGATCAAGGCGGATTGGTCCTGCTGATACTTCTTGATCTGTCAACAGTGTTCTATATGGTTGACCATGATGTGTTAACCCACCACCTCACCAACACAGGGATATGGGGACTTGCCTTGCAGTGGCTGACCTCCTTTCTCCAGGGTCGGGGCCGGAGGATGGTACTTGGGGGGGGGGGCTATCCCAATGACATCTATTGGAATGGAGTGTGCCACAGGGATCAATTCTCTCCCCTATGCTGTTTAATATCTATATGCACCCCCTTGCCCAGATTATCCAAAGGTATGGGCTGGGTTGTCACCAGTATGCAGATGACACCCAGCTCCATCTACTGATGGATGGCCACCCGGACATGGCCCCAGGAGATCTGAATTGGGTGTTACAAGCTGTGGCTGGATGGCTGTGACAGAGACAACTGAACTTAAATCCATCCAAGATGGAAGTCCTGCACCTGTGTTATGGGGGATTGGGACAGGGAATCAGGTTCCCAGCTTCCACTGGGGCTCCACTGGTACCAGTGTCGAGGGTGAAGAGTCTGGGGGTGCTCCTGGATGCCTCCCTTTCTATGGAGGCCCAGGTCACTGCCACTGCCATATCTGCCTTTTTCCATCTGACACAGATCGGGTAGCTGGCGCCATATCTCACCCCTCAAGACCTGGCTACAGTGACCCATGCAATGTTCACTTCCAGATTGGACTATTGTAAATCTCTCTACCTGGAGCTGCCCTTGACTCTGCTCTGGAAGTTGCAGCTAGTGCAAAATGTGGCAGCACAGGTGTTGATGGTGACACCTGTGTGGGCTCGTATCCACCTAGGGCTGCAGGAACTGCACTGGCTGCCTATTGAATACTAGATCCATTTCAAGGTGCTGGTGCTTACCTTTAATGCCATATACAGCCAGGGGTTACATTCCTTTGGGACAGCCTCTTCTCATATGAGCCCTGTAGAGCACTGAGGTCTACAAATCAACATCTCTTGGTAATCCCCAGCCCCAGGGATGTCCGACTTGCCTTGACTAGGGCCAGGGCCTTCTCGGCCCTGGCCCCCACCTGGTGGAATGAACACCTGTATGAGATCAGGACTCTGCAGAATTTATTGTATTCTTCAGGGCTTGTAAGACTGGGCTTTTAGTTGAGGCAGTGGATGTCCCACCCTTCTGGCTGGCCTCTCATTAGTGGCCTGGATTCTTAATTCCATCTGAACAGATTTTACATAATATTTTAGGATTTTGTGTTGTTTTACACGGTTGTTTTAAGTGGTTTTAATTGTATTATATATTGCATTAATATTGTTGGCACCCGCCATGAGCCTGCTTGCAGGAAGGGTGGGATACAAGTACGTACAAACAAACAAACAAACAAACATGTCCCAAGTTCTTTGGATATATACAACTTTGTTAAGAGTGTGGTTTGAGGGTGTCCGAGGTCAACACCTCTGCCCCTGCACTTACCTCAGGGGGCCACAAGCCCCACCAAAGGTGTGCTGTGCCAACAAGGCCCAAGGCTGGGGAAGTTGTCTGTCGCATCAAAGCAGGGTCTGAGCTTGACAGAGGCTACCTGGGAATCAGCCAGCTTGAAGGAGCCCAGCTGGCTCTCAGCGGTGTACTCAGCAGCCAAAACCAACACACCTGAGTTCCTACCAGAGATAATCCTGGTACTAAGACCCAGGAGGGCTCTGGCAAATAATAGGAAGAGCAGGTAGCACTGACCTAATACGAGGAGGTCAGGCGGGGCAGCCAGTCCTTTAAAGAAGTCCAGGTGGAAGGGCCAGTGAGTTCTCCAATCCAAGGAAAGGCCCATTGGCCCAGGGCTGTTTTGCTGTGGTTGGTTTCCTTCTGCTGTGCATAGTAACAATACTTTGCTCAGTTGGTTTCTGTATATTTTCTCTCATAATCTCAGCAACTGTAAGAACTCTGAGGAAATAATGAAACATTTAACTGTGAAACAAAAGCAACTAATTAGAACTGCTTCATATAAAAAAGAAAGAAAGCCAACAATGTCTCATTTTAACACTATTTATTGATATTTTGCCTCAAAAACAATTGTCATTTTAAGATATATTATGCATTGATTTAGAGGAGAAACTTAGCATAGATGGGTTATTATCATGTAGTTTATTAGGTGCAACCAACTGTACCCACAGAAGGGACATCCTGATGAGAAGTCAGAAGTCTTGAGAAATTACTGTCATTGTGCCTGTAACTGAGGTCATGCCTAAAGAGAGGCTTGGATTAATGATCTGTCACTTTCTGTAAACACACATTCCGAACCCCATGAACCTCTACTGCTGCATGAAAATTACATTAAATAGGAAATGCATCCAATATTTGTTAATATTATGGCAATGAAACCAACAGGCTTCACAAGGTACAAGTGGGGAAACCAGGAGGGGGGAAGGGAAGGGAATGTGCTCCATAAATATTGAAACTTGCGTAAAATTTATTCCAGTTTTATGAAATATTCCACACACACCCCATTCAAATGGTAGTGACAGAAAGATAGGTGTCCCCTTCCCTGGTACCTTCCATCTGACCATTAATAAATGGGATTAAGAAGGAGTCTAGTGAAAACATTACAATTGGTTAAACCTACTATAAAATAGTATCCTGCCTACATTTACACTATTTCACAAAGTTCTGCATCCACAGTTGAGAATCAGTAGCTTATTGGCAGTAGTGATATGGCCATGTAGTGTAGTGGTTAAGTGTGCAGACTCTAATCTGGAAGAATCGAGTTTGATTCCCACTCCTCCATTTGCAGCTGCTGGATGACCTTGGGCAAGCCATAGTTCTGTCAGAGCTGTTCTTGAAAGAGCAATTCTCCAAAGAGCTCTCTCAGCTGTGCCTACATCACAGGATGTCTGCTGTGGGGAGGGGAAGGGAAAGGAGTTTGTAAGCCGCTCTGAGTGAAGGGCAGGGTATCAATCCAATCTCCTCTCCTCTTCTTCTGTTCTTCTAGTTTCCCAAAATACATTATTGACTCCATAAAGGATACATTACTGTACCAGTAACCAGTGAGGGAAATCAGATTTTACACCAAATCACATAGAGCAAAATGTA